GCAGCTGACACTCAGCCAGCTGCGCCACAATCCCGGTATAATAATAATAATAATAATAATAATAATAATAATAATATTTTTTATTTATACCCCGTCACCATCTCCCCAATGGGGACTCGGAGCGGCTTACATGGGGCCAAGCCCGGACAACATGTTACATCAAAATAAAATTGTGGCTCAGCTGGCTGAGTGTCAGTTGCATTAAGATCACTCTGACCAAAATAATAACAACTTACAGAATAGAGAAAACACAAAACAGTGAACATTTTACAAACACATAACCCCACCACCAAGGCCTGAACAAGTATCATTTCCTTCACCATGTATTTATAAATCAACCATTAATCAAATATCATCTCCAAAATTCCTGATCAACCAAATTCTGTTGTTTTCCATTTTCGCTCTCTAAGCCATATTTAATAAAGACCGACCAGTATGCCTCAAAATCTGACCTGTTAATTTCCCCCCTAAATACCCTCATTTCCATTGTTAATTTATCATGTAAGGCTACATTCCATACCTCCCTATACCATTCGTCCAGTGTTAGATTAGTTATTATTTTCCAATTCTTTGCTATTATAATTCTTCCCACTGTGAGCAAAATAGTCACCAATTCTTTCTTACTTGTTTCTACATTCAGCTTCGTGGTGTCCATTAATAATGCTAACCTAGCATCCGGCGTAATATTTGATCCTATAATGTTGTTTATTTCGGTAAATATATCCTTCCAAAAATTCTTCACTTGGGGGCATTCCCACCATAGATGAAAATATGTCCCTTTGTGTTTGCCACATCTCCAGCAGAGGTTACTTTGCTTGCTATCCATCTGTATGTTTGACTGACGTGGTATACCATCTCCATATAACTTTGTATACATTTTCTTTTAATCTTATTGATAGGTTCTTGGCCACTCTCCACTTCAGGACCCTTTTCCAATCGAAATCTGTCAGAGGCCCTAGGTCTCCTTCCCATACATTTTCTAACAGCTTCAGCCCTATTTCTTTGCCAATTAATCCATTATATATATTCCCAATTAATCATTTCCCCATTATTTCTTGGTTTTTAAGCTTACTTAACCATTCCTCATATTTATTCAGTGCTCTACATCTGGGATTTTTACTCAATCAGTCCTTTCTCCAATTACACAGCTGTTGTCTCTCAAACCAATTCAGGGCACCTTGTTCTTCTAACTTATTAAACTTGCCCATTGAGTTTTGTATCCATTCCTTCCAGGAAAAAGCAGTTTCCCCTTCCACTCATTTTTTATATTTAACTTTAATTCTCAGGTCTTCTTGAAATTTTTTCCAGTAAAACTATTGGAGTTAGGGGGGAAACTCCTTGAAATATCTTATTTTTTAATTTAGCCCGTATCTCCATGACATCTTTAGCCAGGTTATTTTTACACCCCTTAATTTCTTTGCTTATTTTTGACCTAAAAATATTTCCCTATAATCCCTGTGTCAGCATTTTCCTTCCACTTCCTGCCAGATTAATTTAGGTTCCGAGAGCAGCCTAAACACTCCCTTTATTATATGTGTCTGATAGTAGGTTTTTAGTTCTGGTATTCCTAATCCTCCTAATTTCTGAGAAATATACCATAGGCCTCTCGGTAGCCTAGATCTTCTAGATCCATTACAAAATTCATTGACTAATTTCTGCCACGTATTAGTATTTCAGTAGGAAGTGTGGGCCTGCATTTGGCTGATGAGATAGGATTGTTGTTGTTGTTGTGCGCTTTCAAGTCATTTCAGATTTATGTTGACCCTGAATGAGGGCCGGGTAAATGACCTTGGAGGGCCATGTCCGGCCCCTGGGCCTTAGTTTGAGGACCCCTGATCTAGACACTAGACTCCTTTCGATGCAGCCCAAAATCCCATTAATTACATTGACTTCTTAGCATTTCCCATCCATTGCATTTCAGGTTGTAACGCAAACCGGGATCGAGTGGAATCTGTCTCCTGTGGGCCGGATCACGCCCAAACCATGGCGAGAGGAGTAAAGATGATCTTCACATGCTTCTAAAAAGATGGGAAGAGTCACGGACTGGTTTAAAATTTCATTGGGATGTTCCCACCATACGCCTAAGGCGGCACAGTTCTCTATATTATTCATGATGTAATAAAAAATATTTAAAATTAAAGTCGTCTGAGTAAAAGTTCCTCCTTGGAGATTTGCATGAAAGGAATCTAGTCCTGAATTGCTGAGTCTAGCTAAGGAACAATTGAAGACACGATATGCAAAGGAGAGAGTCATTTTGACTTCCTTGTGGGAATATTCCAGTAGCATTCCCTCCTGACGTTTTGCCTGCATCTATGGCAGGCATCCTCAGAGGTTTATTCAGAGGTCTGTGGGAGTGAGGCAAGTGGGGTGTATATACAGGGTGCGGCAGCATAGCTTCCTTTTCTGGAACACCTCAGCAAGCGAGAGTCCAAAAGTGGCAGGCTCAAACTCAGAGTCTCAACCAATGGCTGATACCAAATGAGAGACTTCCCCCTGGGCACACAGAAGACTGGGCGACTTGGAAGGCGCTGAACAGACTGCGCTCTGGCACCACGAGATGCAGAGCCAACCTCAAGAAATGGAGCCACAAGAAGAACTCCACAACTGGTACGAATAGGTTTCTGTTTCTCCAAGTAGATTGTTTTTAAATAAATACTTAACATTTCTGTATTATTATTAAATGAATAATTAATATCATTGTATTATTACTGTATTATTAAATGAATAATTACTATCACTGTATTATAACTGTTATTAAATTAATAATTAATATTTCTGTATTATTTTACTGTATTATTTTACTGTATTATTAAATTAAATGCTTGCTGATGACACGATAAATAAATAGCCATTGGTTGAGGTTCTGGGTTTGAGCCTGCCACTTTTGGACTCTCGCTTGCTGGGGTGTTCCAGCGAGTGTCTCTGTAGATCTTAGAAAACTATGTCTTGATTTAAGTCGAGTGCTGGCTGATACCCAAAAAAGGGATGAGCTGGAGATGTCACTGCCTTGGTCCTTTCACTATTGGCTGCTACTTCCCGGCGGATGTCAGGTGGTGCAATACCGGCTAAGCAGTGTAATTTCTCCAGTGGTTTAGGGCGCAGACACTCCATGTCTCATTAAGAGCCACATCCACTGTTTTAGCGTGGTGAGATGTGTTCCACACTGGGCATGCATACTCAGCAGCAGAGTAGCACAGCGCAAGGGCAGATGTCTTCACTGTGTCTGGTTGTGATCCCCAGGTTGTGCCAGTCAGCTTTCTTATGATATTGTTTCTAGCACCCACTTTTTGCTTGATGTTCAGGCACTGCATCTTGTAGATCAGAGCACGGTCCAGAGTGACTCCCAGGAATTTGGGTGCGCTGCAATGCTCCAGTGGGATTCCTTCTCAGGTAATCCTCAGAGCTCGGGATGCTTGTCTGTTCTTAAGGTGAAAGGCACATGTCTGTGTTTTAGATGGATTAGGGATCAGCTGGTTTTCCCTGTAGTAGGCAGTAAGAGCATCTAGAACTTTGGAGAGCTTCTGTTCAACCATCTCAAAGCTCCCTGCTTGAGCAGTGATGGCACGATCATCAGCATAGGGTATTTCCTCAGAGCTCAGGATGCTTGTCTGTTCTTGAGATGAAAGGCACATGTCTGTGTTTTAGATGGATTAGGGATCAGCTGGTTTTCCCTGTAATAGGCAGTAAGAGCACCTAGAGCTTCTGAGAGCTTCTGTTCTACCATCTCAAAGCTCCCTGCTTGAGCGGTAATGGCACGATCATCAGCATAGATGAAGCTCTCTGTCCCTTCTGGCAGTGGCTGGTCATTTGTGTAGATGTTGAACATGGATGGAGCAAGCACGCTCCCCTGAGGCAGGCCGTTCTTCTGTTTCCGCCATCTGCTTCTCTGGCCCTGGAACTCAACAAAAAAGCTCCCGTTCTGTAGCAGCTAGAGCTTCGGAGAGCTTCTGTTCAACCATCACAAAGCTCCCTGCTTGAGCGGTGATGGCACGATCATCAGCATAGATGAAGCTCTCTGTCCCTTCTGGCCGTGGCTGGTCATTTGTGTAGATGTTGAACATGGATGGAGCAAGCACGCTCCCCTGAGGCAGGCCGTTCTTCTGTTTCCGCCATCTGCTTCTCTGGCCTTTGAACTCAACAAAGAAGCTCCCGTTCTGTAGCAGCTAGAGCTTCGGAGAGCTTCTGTTCAACCATCACAAAGCTCCCTGCTTGAGCAGTGATGGCACGATCATCAGCATAGATGAAGCTCTCTGTCCCTTCTGGCCGTGGCTGGTCATTTGTGTAGATGTTGAACATGGATGGAGCAAGCACGCTCCCCTGAGGCAGGCCGTTCTTCTGTTTCCGCCATCTGCTTCTCTGGCCTTTGAACTCAACAAAGAAGCTCCCGTTCTGTAGCAGCTAGAGCTTCGGAGAGCTTCTGTTCAACCATCACAAAGCTCCCTGCTTGAGCAGTGATGGCACTATCATCAGCATAGGGGGTTTCCTCAGAGTTTGAGATGCTTGACTGTTCTTGAGATGAAAAGCACATGTCTGTGTTTTAGATGGATTAGGGATTAGCTGGTTTTCTCTGTAATAGGCAGGAAGAGCACCTAGAGCTTCGGAGAGCTTCTGTTCAACCATCTCAGAGCAGTTCCAGGCAATAACAATGCCTAGGCACTGAACAGGGGGGATGACTTCCGGATAGTGAGTAAGCGCATGCGCGGCTCCTTGTTGCGTGATGACGTCTGGAGAGTGTGTTTCAGCCGTCGCTGGGAAGGGGGCGTGGCCGGGGCGGAGGGGGCGTGGTCGGAGTGGAGGGGGCGTGGCTTGTGTGAGGCAGCCTTTTCTTTGCCTCAGAAGGAGAAGGACGCCGAGGAGGAAGGACGCAGAGCAGCGTGCGGAGAGGCCAAGCCTGACCCTGGAAGACCGGAAGTAAGGAAGAGGTTCCGGGGTCAATCCCCCAAACCGGAAGTGGAGTCTTTCCTCCCCTTTCATTCCTGATCTTGCTCTTAGTCTTGTCTGTGGTAATGGCTGTCCCTTTAATAATAAGACAGTCATATTATTCCTGTGTTATTATTAATGATTCACTTAAGGAAATGGTAATATTATTGGTGTTTTATTGATTAGTCACTTGAAATACAGGAATAATACAGGGATATATTATATTGTTCATTTAATGATTATAATACAGTAATAATCATACAGAAATATTAATTATTTATTTCATAATAATTCAGTAACAATGCAGTGATATTAATTCATTTAATAATACAGAAATAACAATACAGTGATATTAATTGTTCATTTAATAATAATACAGTAATCGTAATACAGAAATATTAACTATAATTCAATAATAATTCAGTAATATTCAGTAATAGTACAATTATAATACAGTAATAATAATCATACAGAAATATTACTTATTCATTTAATAATAATACAGAAATAATAATACAGTGATATTAATTGTTTATTTAATAATCATACAGTAATACTAATACAGAAACATTAATTATCCATTTAGTAATAATAGTACACAAATAATAATACAGTGATATTAATTGTTCATTTAATAATCAAACGGTAATAATAATACAGAGATATTAATTATTCATCTAATAATAATTCAGTAATATTACAGAAATATTAATTATTCATTTAATAATACACTAGTAATTATACAGATATATTATTTATCTAATAATACAGTAATAATATACAGATAGTAATTGTTCATTTAATAATAATACAGTTATATTAAGTATTCATTTCATAATTATAATACAGTAATATTGGTACAGAAACATTAATTATCCGTTTAATAATAATAGTACAGAAATAATAATACAGTGATATTAATTGTTTATTTAATAATCATACAGTAATAATAATACAGAAATATTAATTATTCATCTAATAATAAAACAGTAATAATTATACAGAGATATTAATTATTCATCTAATAATACAGTAATAATATAGAGATGTTAATTATTCATTTAATAATAATATAGATATATTAATTATTCATTTAATAATTATAGTAATACTAATACAGAAACATTAATTTTCCATTTAATAATAGTACAGAAATAATACAGTGATATTAATTGTTCATTTAATAATCATACAGTAATAATACAAAAATATTAATTATTCGTCTAATAATACAGTAGTGATACAGAGATGTTAATTGTTCATTTAATAATAATACAAGGATATTAATTATTCATTTAATAATTATAATACAGTAATATTGGTACAGAAACATTAATTATCCATTTAATAATAATAATAGTACAGAAATAATACAGTGATATTAATTGTTCATTTAATACTAATAATACAGTAATAATAATACAGAAATATTAACTATCATTTAATTATAATACAGTAATAATAATACAGTGATATTAATTATTCATTTAATAATAATACAGTACTAATAATACAGTAATATTAACTATCATTTGATAATAATTCAGTAATATTACAGGGATGTTAATTATTCATTTCATATTAATAATACAGTAATAGTAATATAGAAATATTAATTATTCATTTAATAATAACACAGTAATAATAATACAGAAATATTAATTCTTCATTTAATAATAATACAGAAATAATAATGCAGAAATATTAATTATTCATTTAATAATACAGTAATAATAATAAAGCAATATTTGTTTAATAATGGAGTAATAATACAGAAATATTAATTATTCATTTAATAATTATAATACAGTAATACTAATATGGAAATATTAATTACTCATTTAATAATAAAAGTACATAAATAATAATACAGAGAAAGCAATTGCTCATTTAATAATACAGTAAAATAATACAGAAATAATAATACAGAAATATTAATTATTCATTTAATAATACAGTGATATTAATGAATTGAGTCCCTCCTCGGGGGTTGAGAAGGGTGGGGTAGAAGTGCGAGAAATAAATAAAGAAATGATTATTCATTTAATAATAATACAGAAATATTAAGTATTTATTTAAAAACAATCTACTTGGAGAAACAGAAACCTATGAGTACCAGTTGTGGAGTTCTTCTTAGAGGTAGCATTCCTGATATTGTTTTTGTTGCCGTGTGTAGATAATTTTTATTGCTCTTACCATGATGTTATTCAGTATTTATTT